GCCGCCCCCTTCCACCCGCACCGCACCCGCTCCACCTCACCTGCCACCTGCGCCGCCGCACCTCCCAGCCCGCGCCGCAACCTGCCCCGCGGGTCCCAAACCCTAACCCTTGCCATGAGCTCCTCCTCGTCCACCGTCTCTAACCAGTTCGCCGGTCCCGATGTCACTCTCGTCCGCGACCTCAACATCCATGAGCGTGTTCCGGTCAAGCTTGATCACACCACCGCGTCCTACTCCGCCTGGAAGCGGTATTTTTCGCTTGTGTTCCGTGAGTACCTCCTGCACGGCCACGTGGACGGCACCGTGGACTCGGCGCTCATGATCAACGACGAGGAGTGGATGATTCTCGATGCCACCATCATCCGCTGGTTCTACCTCACCATCTTCAGCGACCTCTTCCACACCCTGGTGGACGACGAGGATGACGCCCATGCGGTCTGGACCAAGCTCAACGGCCTCTTCACCGACAACCGGCTGCAGCGCAAGGTCCTGCTCTACGGTGAGTTTTACGGGTGCCAGCAACTTGACTCATCCATCGATGATTTTTGCACGCACCTCAAAAAGCTCGCCGATGAGCTCCGTGATCTCGGGGAAAAGATTGGCGACGAGCTCCTCATCAGCACCCTTTCCGGCGGCCTTAACGAGGACTTCGGGAACGCCGCCTCCAACCTCACCCTCATCCCGGAGCCCACCTTCGCTAAGGTGGTCGCGTACCTCAAGTTGGAGGAGCGCCGAATGCGGGTGGCGTGGACTCGCGCGACCCACACCGCCCTCGTCGCCGGCACCCGCGGGTGTTCTGCCCCGCCACCACAGCGCCCGACGCCGCCACAGCCAGCGGCGCCTGCCTTCCCACCAGGTTTCCCGCCCGCCCCGGCCGCCCCCTTCCCGTCGCCCCAGTCGGCGGCCAATGGGGGGGGTCGTCGCGGCGGCCGTCGTGGTGGCCGCAAGCAGGGGGCGCAGGCGCTCAGGGAGGAGCACCCCGCCCACCGCAGTAGGCTTATCAGCCGGCCCCGTGATACGCCGGCCAGAACCCATGGACCGGCGTTGTGCACGCCTACTCCATGCCGGTTCCTCGGGCCCCCTCCCCGGGACTTCTCGGCGCCCGGCCACAGACACATCAGGCGTTCTATGTCGCGTCGCCGCCCTATGCGGCGCCCTACGACCAGCAGACGCAGCCAGGTGGGCCGCAGCCGCTGCTGCCCCTGACGGTCGCGCCACCTCTCTCGCCGGCGCCGTGGGACCCGGCCCTTCTGGCGGCTCTTCACACCGCTCCCTCCCCGTCCAGCTACACCGGCGGTGGCGACTGGTACATGGACACTGGAGCCACCGCCCACATGGCGGCCTATCCCGGTAACCTCCACACCTCCTATCATGTCCATACTTCCAACCGCATCACCGTCAGTGACGGCTCCTCTTTCCCTATCACCCATATAGGTCACGCATATTTTCCGTCTAACTCCACTCCAATATCCATGTCTAATGTCCTAATTTCTCCTGAACTTATCAAAAATCTTGTTTCTGTGCGTTCTCTTACACGTGAAAATCCGGTTACCGTTGAATTTGACGCATGTGGTTTTTCTATTAAGGACGCTCGCACGCGGATGGTGCTCCACCGATGTGACAGCCCCGACGAGCTCTATCCGGTTCACTCCGCCACCTCCACCACTTCCGCCGCCCCTGTCGCTCTCGCCACCGGAGTGGATCTTTGGCATGCTCGCTTGGGTCATCCTAATCCTGCCACCCTTCGCCACACTCTTCGGAGTTTTTCTTTCACGTGTAATAAGAACGAGGATCACTCGTGTCATGCATGTCGCCTTGGCAAACATGCTCGTCTTCCGTTCAGGGCTTCTTCTTTTGTTGCATCGTACCCATTTGAGTTAATTCATAGTGATGTTTGGACCTCTCTTGTTGCTAGTAATACGAGCTTTCTTTATTATCTTGTCATACTTGATGATTTTTCGCATTATGTATGGACCTTCCCGTTGCGCCGCAAGTCGGATGTTATATCCACTCTCGCCGCGTTCTACTCCTATGTTCTCACGCAGTTTGGTCGTCCCATTCTCGCGTTGCATACACACAACGGGAAGGAGTTTGACAACCTCGCTGTTCGTAATCTTCTTACCACACATGGCACGATTTTTCGTCTCACTTGCACGTACACCTCGTAGCAGAACGGTCGCGCTGAGTGCATCCTTCGCACTCTCAATGACTGCGTTAGGACTCTTCTCTTTCATGCCAATGTGCCTCCGCGCTTTTGGCCTGACGCTCTCGCCACCGCTTCCCTTCTCATCAACATCCGCCCATGTCGTACTCGCGGGAACTTTACACCTCATCATCTTCTCTTCGGTGCACCCCCCTCTTATGATGGGCTTCGCATCTTCGGCTGCCTCTGCTACCCTAGCATCGCCGCTATTGCGCCTCATAAGCTTGCACCCCGCTCCATCGCCTGCATCTTTCTCGGCTACCCACCTAACACTAAGGGCTACCGCTGCTATGAACCTGTCTCCCATCGTGTTTTCACCTCCCGACATGTTTACTTTGATGAGATGGTGTTTCCGTTTCAGCAGCAGGTACCTCTTGTCGTCTCATCACCGCCGGCCACTGGCGGCTCTTCGACGACTTCGTCAGGTGCTCGTTCAGCCCGTGGACCGCCTCCGGGCTTTGGCGGTCCTCGCGCCCTCATGCCGGTGCCCGCCCCCTCGGCCGACTCGGCCGACCCTGCCGACACAGCTGGCGCCTCTCCTTCACTCGCCGCCCCCGACTCGGGCGCCGCGGGGTCGGGCACTGCTGGCTCGGCCGCTTCTTCGTCGGTCCTGACGCCGGCCCCCTCGCCGGTTCCGACGCCGGCCACCACGCCAGCTTTCTCGCCGGCCCCGATGCCGGCCACCACGCCGGCTTCCTCGCCGGCCTCGACGCCGGCCACCTTGCCGGCCCCCATGCCGGCCTCCTCGCCGGCTCCGACGGCGCCGCCTGGCCCAGTTACCCGGGCTCGTGCCGGCGTTCATCGTCCGAGCCTCCGGTACTCGAGCGACGAGTATGTCCTTGCAGCCTCCACCGCGGCGTCGTCGCCTCTTACCGCGTTCGCTCGCGCCGCCCTTCGTGATCCTCACTGGCTTGCGGCGATGCAGGAAGAGTTCGATGCTCTTCAACGGAACCGCACCTGGACACTGGTTCCCCGGCCTCCTCGCACCAACGTCATCACCGGCAAGTGGGTCTTTCGCCATAAGACTCGCTCGGATGGTACTCTCGAGCGCTACAAGGCTCGCTGGGTGGTCCGTAGTTTCTGCCAGCGCGCCGGAGTGGACTTCACTAAGACGTTTGCCCCGGTTGTCAAACCGGGCACGATCCGCACCGTCCTCCAGCTCGCCGTCTCCCGCGGCTGGCCCGTTCACCAGATGGATGTCTCCAACGCCTTTCTCCACGGCCATCTTGAGGAGCAGGTGTATTGTGAGCAACTCACCGGTTTCGTCGACGCCTCACTTCCTGGCCATGTGTGTTTGTTGTCCCGCTCTCTTTACGGGCTCAAGCAAGCACCCCGCGCCTGGTACCAGCGGATCGTCGGGTTTCTTCAGACACTGGGCTTCAGCGTTACTCTCTCGGATGCCTCACTGTTTGTCTATCGCCACGGTGACACGACTGCATACTTGCTTCTCTATGTCGATGACATCATCCTGACGGCCTCCTCCGCAGCTCTTCTTCAGCAGATTACTCTCCGGCTGCGTGACGAGTTTGCCATTAAGGACTTGGGTGCTCTACATTATTTCCTTGGCATTGAGGTCGTTCGGCGTCCGGGTGGTTTCTTTCTTCATCATCATAAGTATGCACATGAGCTTCTTGAGCGTGCTGGCATGCTCAACTGTCACCCTGTTGCTACTCCCGTTGACACGAAGGCCAAGGTTTCTGCTCTTGAGGGCTCGCCTGCGTCGGATGCTCCTTTCTACCGGTCTATCGTCGGCGCTCTTCAGTACTTGACTCTCACCAGACCAGATCTTCAGTATGTTGTTCAGCAGGTGTGTCTCCACATGCACGCTCCCCGTGACTCCCATTGGACTCTCGTGAAGCGGATCCTTCGTTACATCCGCGGCACGATGACCCTCGGGTTGACACTCACGGCGTCTACTTCTCTGGAGATGGTGGCCTACTCCGATGCAGACTGGCTTGGCTGCCCCGATACTCGTCAGTCCACCTCTGGCTACTGCGTCTACCTCGGTCCTTCACTCATCTCGTGGTCGTCCAAGCGACAACCCACGGTTTCGCGCTCCAGCGCGGAGGCTGAGTACCGAGCTGTGGCCAACGCTGTTGCCGAGTGCACCTGGCTACGACAGTTACTTCAGGAGCTGCATCACGACATCTCCCAGGCTACGGTTGTCTACTGCGACAATGTTTCTGCGGTGTACCTCTCCGCCAACCCCGTTCATCATCGCCGGACTAAACACATTGAGCTGGACATCCACTTTGTGCGCGAGCAGGTGGCTCTTGGCCGTATACGGGTTCTCCATGTGCCGACTGCACAACATTTCATCGATGTGATGACGAAGGGACTGCCGACTTCTACCTTCGAGGAGTTCCGTTCCGGTCTTTG